TGAAGAAAACACTTAGTGATCATTGACAAAACGAGTTTTAAAAGAGACTCTAATTTGTGATAACTACATTTCTAGTTCCAGAATTTGATTTTGCTTTTTTATCGTTCTTAATACCTTCAGAACATAACTCTGACTGACTTCATTTGCTGTGGGGAATGTCTCATGCTTCTGTGAGTCAGTCTCAGTTTCTCATTGAGAGAATGAGAAAGAGGCAGTAGTCATTTCTAGGAGAACTATGATTAAGTAAGTGATTTCTGTGCCAGTGGTGAGGACAGAATCCAATTCACTGAGGTGTCATTTTCAACTTCCCCACAAAGTGAAATTTTATTTTTATTTTTATTTGAGGACACTAGGAGGGAGAAGGAGTAATACCTGATCCTGTTCTTGGATGTCGTGGTACAAATGAAGTTATCACATGCATTTTAGTAGTTGCTAACTGATGAGTATGTGGCCGTATAGTTTTGTGCGCATTCTTTTGACATGTACGTTTAATACGCAATTTTCTAGAAGTAAAAATACAAGAAATGTTTCAGTGGAATTTTACTCTCCTTCCTCTCCTCCCCGCTTTCTTTTCCCTCAGGGTTACCAGGTTTGAAATATGTTAACAACACAAATGAAAGTTAATGACATGACTGATGGTGCTGGTAGAAACCAGATGGCTTTTCTAATTAGAGAGGGCAGCTGTAGAAGTGTGTGAGATGATCGGCCAGTGGGTTTCAGAGATTTGTGGTGACAGCAGAAGAGTTTTGGGGCTTTGGATCTTTGATTTCTACTCCTGGTTCCTGAAAGTGAAATTTGATTTTTTCAAGTCTGTAGTTACAGACTTGGAGTAGGCAGGGTGAATATGCTCCTTCATTTCTAGCCATCACATTTCTGCTCTAAAGTATTTAGTTGGTAGAATATAATCTGTGAAACTTAGAAGAACCTCAGATTTCTCCCTATGCAATATATTTTCATGCGATCTTACTTTCTGGAAGTTGTGCTTCTTGACACAGATTTCCATAGCAAACTGATTAAAATGAGCTTGAAGTAGAGTTAGTGTGGGGATTTTCATTTCATACAGTTAAATTTTGAGAAATTTTTGAGCAGCTGAAAGCAGGGCTCATGAAGTGCTAGGCAACCTTAGCCATAGGAGCCATTGTCAGGTCTGTCTGTAATTTTAAAGCCATAACATGAATTTCTAAAAATGCCGAGCTGAAGCTTTGAATAAATGCTGAACTACAATCACAAGTATCCTTAGCGTTTGTTAATGAGTCAGTTGGAAGGCATGAGCTTCTCTGTTGAGTACAGAGGATCTCCTTCAGACTTTCTGTGTGCTGTTGGGCAAGCTGCTTGGTATCCGCACAGCCATCTAGCACTAAAATGAGGTGATGGTGGTGTTAGTGTTAGCTTCTAGAAATAGTACGTGTACTGCTATTGTCCCTGTTACCTGGGTTTGTTTCTGAAAATAGAGAATGTGAGACATTCAAAAACAGTTGCTTAAAAGGTCAGAAAATAAGGTTAATGAATTAGTAGTATTAGATGGTGATTTATTATAGCATTATCCAGAGCTGCAGGTGAATTGAAGCAAATACTGTGTTTTTGTACCATTAAAACTGAATCCTAAGCAATCTGAATGTCATCTTTAAAGTGTTGAAAAAACAGCTTCCTTAGAACTGGCGCAAAGAAGTATTCTGACTTCACAGGAAATTATCTTTATTTTATAAGTAAATGTCATTTTGAGATGTTTCAATATTAGACCTGTTAAATTCTGTCTTCAGTGTTTTACTTTGCAATGGAAACTCCTTAATACAGATGTGCTTGCATAAAATGTGACTCTGTTGGGATTGTAATGCTTTTTATGACATGACAGCTGCAAGTTTTGTGTAAAGTATTCATTTGGTTGTGACCAAACAGATTTTCATCTTTAATAGAATGATAGAATATCTCAAGTTGGAAGGGTCCCATAAGGATCATCGAGTCCAGCTGCCTGCTCCTTGCAAGACTACCTAAATCTAAACCATATGACTAAAAGCATTGTCCAGACGCTTCTTGAACTCCAACAGGCTTCGTGTCATGACCACTTCCCTGGGGAGCCTGTTCGGTGAGCGATCACCCTCTCAGTGGAGAACTTTTTCCTAATGTCCAGTCTGAACTTCCCCTGACAAAGCTTCATTCTATTTCCTCGTGTCCTATCGCTTGTCACCAGAGAGAGGAGATCAGCACCTCCCTCCGCTACTGCCCTCCCTTGAGGAAGTTCTTGCTGCCATGAGGTCACCCCTCAGCCTTCTCTTCTCCAAGCTGAACAAACCAACTGACCTCAGCCTCTTGTCGTAAGTCTTGCCTTTGAGGCCTTTCACCATCTTGGTCGCCCTCCTCTGGACATACTCTAATAGTTTGATGTCCATCTGATACTGAGGCACCCAAAAATGCATGCCAGCTTCCAGTCAACTGGGACCTCTCCAGACTCCCAAGACCATTGTAAAATAACGGAGAGAGGTCCCACGATAACATCAGCCAGCTCTTTCAGTACCCTGGGATGAAACCTACTGGCCCCCACAGACTTTATGTGCATCCAACTGGAGCAGCAAGTCTTGAACAAGTTCAGAGTCAGCTGGGAGTTTATCATCCTCCCAGTCACAGTCTTCCAGTACAGGGCTCCGGGGTTCCCAGCGCCCTTATCGGTGTTGAAGACAGAGGCGAAGAAGGCATTAAACATATCCACTTTTGTCTGTGTCCCTATTTGTGAGGTGACCGACCTCATCAAGCAATGGACCCATGTTACTTCAGATTCTCCTTTTTCTGTGAACATATTTTAAAAAGCCCTTTCTGTTGTACTTCAGTGCTGGACAGCTTGAACTCTCATCAAGCTTTGGCTGCACAAATTTTCTCCCTACAGTGGCAAACAACATCTGCAGTCCTCCCATGTCACCTGTCCTTGCTTCCAATATCCGTACACTTTCCTTTTCCACCTAAGTTCTAGAAGATCCCGGCTTGCCAAGCCAGCCTTCTGCCCTTCTTGCTTGACTTCCGACACTTCAGGATTGCCTGCTCCTGGCTCTTTAAGAGATGGTTCTTAAAAAGTGACCAGCGTTCATGGACCCCAGTACCTTCAAAAGCAGATTCCCAGGGGACTTTACTAACAAGCTCCTTCAGCAGCCTGAAGTCTGCTCTCCCTATATCCAGGGTCACAGTTTTGCTCCTGTCTCCAGTGCTTCGAAACTCAACTACTTTGTGGTCATTGTGGCCAAGACAGCCACCAATCGCCACTTTGCCCACGAGTCCCTCTCTGTTTACAAAGAACAAATCTAGGACAGTGCACCATTCCAAGTCATCTCCTGCACCAAGAAGTTATCTTCAATGTGCTTCAGAAATTTTCTGGACCTGTTTGTGTCTGCTGTGTGATATTCCCAGTTGACATCTGGGAAGTTAAAATCACCCATAAGGACAAGGGCAGTTGATTTAGAAATACTCCTTAATTCTTTGTAGAATAATTGATTGGTGTCATCATCCTGGCTGGCTGGGAGGTCTCACACGTGGCTGAGTCGACTCCCACGACAACATCAGCTTTATTTGCTCTCCTCTTCATCCTTACCAAGAGGCTCTCAGCCATGTCATTGTCAACTGTAAGCACCATCCAATCCACCCCCTCCCTCACATACAGCATAACCCCCCAACCTTGGCTGCCCTGCCTGGCCCTCCTGAAGAGCCTGTAGCCATCCATCACAGCACACCAGTCACAGGACTCGTCCTGCCAGGTTTCACTTATGCCAACGATACTGTAGCTCTGGGACTGGGCCAAAGCTTCTGCCTCCTCTTGTTTATTCCTTGTGCTGTGCACATTAGTATAAAGACATTTCAAATGTTCTCCAGCGTACTCAGCACATCATGGAGCAGACCAAAGGACCTCGCTAGCACACCATCCCTCAAACATTGGCATGCCACCCCCAGGCTTATCTCTAATGAGCCTGTTTTATCCCTTTCCCCCTTCAAATCTAGTTTAAAGCTCTTTCCATGAGCCCTGCTAACTCTCATGCAAAGGTCCTTTTTCTCCTTTGAGAAAGGTGCACCCCACCTGTCGCCAGCAGGCTTGGTGTTGTGTAGACCAACCTGTGACCAAAAACACCAAAATTCTGCTGGTGACACTACTCCCAGAGCCAAGTATTGACCAGCTGGGTCTTCCTGTTTCTTCCTTCATCGCTCCCTGCTACTGGAAGGATAGAAGAGTGTCATGGTTTAAACCCAGCCAGCAGTGAACACCACGTGGCTGCTCGCTCACCCATCCCCAGGACGGGGGAGAGAATTAAAGGGGTAAAGGGAAAAGAGACTCATGGGTTAAGAACAATTTAATAACTAAACTACAATAACATTGAGAATAATAATGATAACAATGGTAGTAATAATAATACACAAACATACAAATTGGTGATATGCAGTAATTCTGCTCACCACCTGATGACCAAGGCCCAGCCAGTTCCCAGCTAACGGGCTTTCTTTTTTAATGGGCTTTCTGTTCCCCTCAGAAGAGAGTCTCCTGTGACAATGACCCAACTTCTTTTCTTTATGGAAGCAGTTTTGATGCAGGGTGTGATGTAGGCCGACTTAACCTTCGTGACACCTCCAACCTAGATGAACCATCGTCTTCATCATTGTTCAGTTCCACGTGCAGGGCCTTGTTCCTACTATACAAAGGCATCTGGGAGGCTGGGGTAGTCATGAAGGAGATGCTCCTGCTGTGCCAGGCAGGAACTTGTTGCGATTGTCCCCTGTCCTTTAAGTCACTGCATTCTGCTGGGCGGAGAGAGGACAGGGAATGTTCTGTATTGTGTGTCCTGTCTGCCTGACAGCTCTGTCCCGGGGAAGGCAGGGTGCAGTTCCAGCAGTCCGGCTCCCTCTCACACTCCCTGACACTCCTCAAACTCCAGCGGAGGAGTTCCTCTGCCCAGGCCACCTCCCACAGGTCTCCTCACTGCTGCTGGCCGGTGCTGGCATAGAGCCAGGCACACCCTGCAGCGGGACACCTGGGTGGCAACGTGTTCCCATAGGAGCTCTGTCTGCGAAGCTGCGGCAGTCGTGATGGATGCAGGGTTTAGAGAGGACACAGCCTTCTGCTGTTAGAGATTGGAAGGGACCTCGAAAGATCATCTAGTCCAATCCCCCTGCCGGAGCAGGACACCTAGATCAGATCACACAGGGACACATCCAGGCGGGCTTTGATAGATACCATATTGTAGATACCATTGCTCCCTGGCCGAGCCGGCAGCCTTGCAGTGCCCTGGCTCTGCTGTGCCACACCCTGTTCGCCCGCTCTGGTCACTAGCACTCCCCAGGAGTTTCTTTTCTACTTGTGGGGGCTCAGCCGCCGTTGTTCCTGGTCCCAGCCAGGTCTCCTCAGTCCCCATTCCACGAGCTGCAGGCTCCTGGCAGGTCTCTCTGCTCCCCTCAGGTTCTCCAGTTCAGGAACCCCGCCATGTGCACCGCGCTAGAGTGCTCCGCTGCCGATCATGTTTGCACCAGAGCTGCTGGCCTCAGTGACAGAGGTTGGCATGAAGGTTGTATAAATATGGTTACCAAGGAAAGTCACTTCAATCTGTTATTAGTTACTGCCAGATGAATAAGCAAATTGACCTTCACTAAGAGCTTTGCAACAAAACCCAAAAGTAAACCAGCTCAGAAATCTGTTGCCATTATGGAAACCATGCAGCAGTGTGGAAATCTTTCAGTCTTCTCGTTGTTGCACTGCCAGTTCTTCCTCACCACTGTGGCTTGTATAGCGTGATCTCTGAATACAGGCTAAAAATTATTGTGAACATACCACCACATTTGATTGATTAATAATGAAGGGTAACTGTAATGTAGTGTTTTGAGTGATACAAAATAATTTTTTTTTTCTTACTGTATGAATGATACACTTGTAAGTAGGAGCTTGGCTAGTGATGGTGAATAGGGATGTATTTTTAGCTGTTGGGAAATGTGCTGAGAACTGGCTACTCTCAGCGTTTGCAATTGTGCTGATGAAAGTTGTGAGCACTGTAATAACGATTCTAAATGTATATTTTTTTACTTTCTAGGCTGGTAACCAGCACATATATCAGCCTGTGGGTAAACCAGGTAAGCAGTAAATTCATATACCATCATCCTGAAGCTTTGATTACAAGTCTTCTAGTAGCAGCAGTGACCAAAGAATTATGCCGGTATTTTCATCCAAGGGGTGTGGATTCAATTCCAGATAACTACACATCGATGTTTCAGTGCACTGTGTGTTTGAATTCCCCCTGCAGTCCCCAGCGGTGTAGTCAGCAAAGCCAAGAAAATGTTTCATGAACAGGCAGGAGGTGTCTAGAGGAAACTGAGTCACTGTGTAGGACTTCACTGTGTGTGCAGTTCAGACACGTAAAACAGAAGTAGACACCTGAATTTAGGTTTCTCAATCTCAAAGTGAATCACACCCAGGATTGCTGCCGTGAAGAAGTCTGATTTTCCCAGACATGTGCAGCATGTGTGGCACTCAGCTGTGGTATGAAGAGGTGTGTACCTCTCAGGTCTGGGGTAGGTGTACTGAGATGAGTAGCAGTTGCCCCACAAAGGGATTTTCGAAGTATCTTACTAAAACTGACATGTTCTCATAATCACAGGAAGACTTGATGAATTCCTCAACCTCTTCTGTCTGCATTTCTTCAGTAGAAATACAGATTAAAGTACAGCTCCTACAGCCAACAGACTTACTGTAAGACACGTAAAGATGTACATTTCCTCTGCTACTACAGTAAAACACGTGTAGCCTTTGTAGTGTTGACAGACCAAAATTATGCAGGTACATCTGCTATGTTGGCTCTAAAATGCAAATTTTTTTGTTAACCAGATCACGCAGCTCCGCCAAAGAAACCCCCCCGCCCTGGAGCCCCCAGCCATTTGGGCAGCCTCGCGAGCCTCAACAGCCCTGTGGACAGCTACAATGAAGGCGTGAAGGTGCGTTGCTTTGTGTCACATCACATACATTTTGGAAAGTTAAACATTACCACTCTGAGATAGTTTGCTGTTCCTGAAGTAGAGACTGTGGAAAGCAAAAGTGACTAAACTTCCCAAGTCAATGTTGCGTGGGGCAAACATGCACTGGCAGCTCTCCAGGGAAGTGGGGAGGTAACTGGTAGGCTCATATCCTCCATTGCTGTGATTCAGCAGCTTCCTCACCTGGAACCTTTCCCAGGGGAGCTTATTTCTAGTTTGAAGGGCATATGAGATCTCCCGTAGGGACTCGGCCTCCCTGCTCAGCAGCTTTGTTAAGCAATAAGGAGTACACCCAGAGTTCCCAGTAGTACCAAAGTCTCCTGTCCTCCGTTACAGAGGAACGAGACATGTCTGAACTGCAGTGCTCCAAAAAGCTCTTACCGCAGCACCAAAGCTCCTGAAACCCTACTAGCTCTGGGGAACAAGGGAAGAGGGGAAACAGGCTGTCTGAGCTATGATTGAGATATTTTCTGATGTGTTGTTTCATCTGTAGTAAATAGGCAATAAAGCAAAAAATTAAACTTAGTTTTCTAGCAGAGAAGTGCCGCAGGGTGTGGTGAAACACAGCATCCTGTCTCTTGTTGGTGTCAATGGAACTGCTCCTCAGTATATCAGTCACTTTTAAATCGTGCCTCTAGGTGTTGTTCCCTGCCTCTGGGCTCTGTTGCCTTTCTCATCTTCAGGAACCTCACAGCTGATCTGTACACGTCACCGTTTTATTATTTCCCAACCTTTGCAGCTAGACAAATGCCTCTCCTCAAAGACTGTTGGTCTGACAGCAGTACTACTGACCATAGCATTAAAGCAGGATCCCTCCTACTGCCACTCCCATTCTGTCACTTGATGCCACCAGCAGCACCCAAGGAGATGCAGCTCCAGCTGTTTCCCAAGAGGAAAGGGATGGGATCTTCTGCAAATACACTGGGACAATCCCTGCTGTAATACAACTGCAAGTGCTAATAATATAGCTCCTCATGGAAGGAGAACCTCGGGCTAATCTAATCCCTTGCCAAGCCTGTAGTAAAGAATGAGAATCCATGTTGTGTTAGACACAGGTACTGTGATAAGCGACACTTACTTTAGGTGGTTTAAGAAAATACAGAAAAAATCCAGTTCATCTGACCACAAAATTCAAAACTTGCCATCAAAGCAATATGTTCAGCACTGATCAATCTCAGCCACTGCCTGCCTGTCTCACTCGTGCTCTCTTGTTCTGGGATTATTGGAATATTTAAGAATTAGCGTAAACAGACAGCAGTGGTGAATTTGAGCAGGATTATTTATTAGAAACTGACGCCAGTGCTTTTCAAGCTGCCAAGCCTCAGAAAATGTCAAGAAGCAGTAACAGATGTGTTACTAAACTTGGCTTCTCTAAAGTTTCCTTTCTAAATGCTGATACTGGAACATGAAAAATGTTTTCTGAAATACATCCTTTTCAAAACAAACCTGAGAAACCAAAGTCATCAGTAATAACAAGTGAACAAGATTTATGTACTGAATAGCTTCCTCAGTAGAAAAGGGCTGTTTGTTAGTTCTGTCAAGAGTTTCTTGGAAATTGGAATTTTTTTTATGTCCCTCAAAGAAAACAGCCCATTGTTTTTTGATAGTATAATAACTTTGTTAATGTCTGCAGTTCTAAACTGAAGATACTTCTAGGGTTCATTTCAGGCTCCCATTAGGGCATGCACCAGGAGATACGTGGTTTTCTGTTACTTGCTGAGGCAAAGTCAGACAGTCTGCACAAAGAAACTCCTGACTTCCTAGTCTGCAGAGCAATAGTGTTGATGTTGAGTATAAACAAACAAAAAAAATCAAGTGTTAAGAAATGCAGATGTCTGTACTCAGAATCTTAGGGCCTGGCTGTAGGAATGAAGTGGGTTGGGTGTAATCCATCTCAAATGGGTTCTTAGGAGTTCTTTAACCACGACTGCAATTAGTCATCGCAAACAGGAGCTGCACAGTTAGATGACCGGGTATTTCCTATCACAACTTTCCTAAAAAAAAAAAGTTTCAGAAGGATGAATACAACATTTTCTTAAATCAGTTGTTTGTGTAAAGGGACTAGGGTTCCACAGGACATTTTCCCACTGTTGCAGAGGCCCTCTACTCCATTTACCACTTTGCTGCTCGCCAGACTGGCTTGCTCCTGTCAAGCTTTGCATGATCTCTTCCCCATGTGGTTAGTAAAAAATAAGCATGGGTGCATGGCAAATACTTCCACTTCCTACGCGGGTGCACAGCAGGTCGTCAGCACACGGTGCTTCCGTAACAAACGGACCAAGAGCTAACACGAATGACTGCCGGTACTGTCGAGGATGCATTTTTGTTGCAGGCTTTTTAACTGGCCTCTTATTGCTACACATGTTTTGGGTTGGTTTGTTTGTTTGTTTTTTAAATTAATATTGTTTTTCTTTTTTCCCTTCTTTTGGTAAATTTCTTTAACCTTCCCCCACATTCTGCTCAACCATAGCCATGGAGGGTAAGCAGTGCGTGAGCGTGTGTGTACGTGCCCTTTTCCAAAATGTCTTTGCATGCAACTTTGCCAGATGACTGTTCAACTTCTCAATTGCTGAAACCAATTAGAATCACAGCTTTTCACTGGTGATTGAGGTGATTACAATGCTCTTTTTTCCTAACGTATTTTCTGATCAATACACTAGATTGAATCTCTGTAGTAGTTGTCAGTACCCCAAATGCAACCACCAGGCACTAAATCCTGCACTCCTTCCTTAGACAAAGTTTCATACAAGTATTTTATAGTTACATCAGGGTGGTAGCTTAGGTGCTTCCAGTGAAACATCTCTGTAGCTAGGACCAGTTGTAAGAACCAGTAGTAACCCAGTGAGGTGGGCTGAAATGCCATGAGCCATCTCACGTCAACAGGGTGGATGGCCGCTGTGTGACCAGTAGGAAATAATTTTTAACCTTCTGCTCCCACTGAGTGGTTGCTTGGGTCTCCTGTAGCAGTAAAGAACTGCAGGGAACTGGGTTGCTTGTAGTTCTACAGGAGCAGAGATACCGAGGACCTTACAGAGGAAGTTTTCAAAGTTTGATTCTTTTCTGACCCAGGATTATTTTGGTCTGTCTTGGACTTAACTCTAGACAGATCAGACTCGATTGTATGAGTTTAAGGACTACAGGATTTTTAACCCATTGGGTTTTTCCTGATCTGTTTGAAACAAACTGTATGAAAATATTTGGTGTTTCCCACCTGTACTGGTGACACCATTTGTGTTAATCTTTCAGTTTACACTAACAAAACGATCATATGTACCGCAATATTCTCCCTTTTCTACATCAGTATGTTAACTGAATACCCTGACATTGTTTTGGGGCACAAACAACAAAACAATCTTCCCGGATGAGGGACCTGGTACCCATTGCCTTAGCCGTGGAACTTGACCAGCAGTAGTCAACCACTTAGACGTGCCAAGTACTCTGTACTCCTCGTTCTTCAAATTATTTTCTTCTCTGTTGTGGGAGTTATACTGGAAGCTCTTCAGGGAAATCCTGGTAAAAGAGCAGGTTCAGTCAGAAGAACTAAAGGAAAGTTCCTGCAGATCCTGGAGCAAGCGTGCTCAGCGAGGACAGGGGACACAGCGGGCCCAGGTGGGGGGCTGTTGGGAACATGAGACATCATTCCCTGATGTCTGCGGAGGTTTGGGAAGTTGCTGAGCCCCATCTGCTGGGGACAGGAGGTTAAACAACCCCTCTCTGCTTCCAGATTCAGCCGCAGGAAATCAGCCCTCCTCCCACGGCCAACCTGGACCGCTCCAATGACAAAGTCTACGAGAATGTAACTGGGCTGGTGAAAGCGGTCATAGAAATGTCCAGTAAAATCCAGCCGGCTCCCCCAGAGGAGTATGTACCCATGGTAAAGGTACGGAGGCAATTCCTAAAATCGGTGTTTTATTTCTCTCCTGAATGAAAAACTTCCAGAAAGTTGGAAGCAAAAAAGCTTTGTTTGCAGGGGGGTAACTTGTGGTCAGAGGGCTGGAGCTTTGGACACGTTACTGTGGGCAACAGTGCCTGTATCCCCCAGCATGCCTGCGCCTACCCAGGGGCAGTGAGTTGGGCACCATCTTCTCTACATTTCACTTTTTCAAAAAGAACTTTTTTTTAATTAACCCTTTGGCATTTGGTTTTGATAGCAAGACATGAAATTGCAAGTGGGGTTTTTGAAGTCCCTCAGCCATGTTCTAACTCCCTTCTTATCCAGATGAGGGATTAAGTGTATCGGTTGCTTCCTGCACTTTGGCTACAAGTCCCCCATCCCTTCATTGCAAGATTATAAACTTTATTTCCTTAATGTATTTTTTTTTTCTTAGGAGGTTGGTTTGGCATTAAGAACCTTACTGGCAACAGTAGATGAGACCCTCCCTGTGCTTCCTGCGAGCACCCACAGAGAGGTACGTAAAGCTCCCCTCACCTGATGCTCAGGCTATTACTTTTCAAGTTTGCCTCAGCTAGGACAGCTAGCTGGACTTTTTTTTTTTTTTGGCTCCCTCTTCTTTACACACGTATGGAAGTGACTGAGATCTTTCAGTGAAATTTGTAAGTCAGGAATAAAACTGTTTACCTCCAAAACCTTGAAGGAGTACAATAACAAGAAAGCCAGGGAGTAGTTCTTCCAAGTGCCACCTTAGAGCATCATCCTGACATTAGCTGGGTGGTTCTGTTAAATAACCTGTATCCAGCTTCTTCACCTATTCTTACTGCTTTAGTAGTAAAAAGGATAATAATATTCCGGACATGGAAACCTAGAACAAGGTGTTAATTCTTACACCTGGGTTAAAACTCATTACCAACAACTTGGGTCTCAGGGCTGTTTAAAGGTGGGTGGGCTCAGCACCATCTAACAGCTCCCAGAGTTGACTGAATCTTCTTGTTGCAGATCGAGATGGCCCAGAAGCTGCTGAACTCGGACCTGGCTGAGCTCATTAACAAGATGAAACTGGCCCAGCAGTATGTCATGACCAGCCTGCAGCAGGAGTACAAAAAGCAGATGCTCACAGCTGCTCATGCTCTGGCTGTGGATGCCAAAAACTTGCTGGATGTTATTGACCAAGCCAGACTGAAAATGATCAGTCAGTCCAGACCACACTAAGCACTGAGGCAAGAGTTTCATCAGTCTAAGAATTCTGCTCGCAAAAGGATGTTCTCTCACCTTCCACCAGCACTGAGGATTAACCCAGTGTAGTCCTGGCTTCCCAGCACCTCTTGCTTCAGCAGACCTGACTGACCACTGTTGGTTTTCTCTCATTACAAAAGCTTAACCAAGTTTTTATCATAAAGCCAAGCTGGTCTGGGATTCAAAAAGTGGCATTATCACAAGATGAAGTTTGTACAGAACTCCTTGGGAAATCACAGCTACGAAGCGCAATTCAGTTTGATATCATCGCATGGGACACGCTTAGCCTAGAGCTGCCACAGGGTTACAGTCTCAGAGCCAAAACTGTTTGAGCAGCAGATGGGAGAAAGATATTGTGAAGTGAAGAATTCGGGGAAACCTCAGGGCTGAGAATTCTTGCCCACAGTATATGAACTATCCAGACTGGAATTTTTTTATTAGAACACTTACGTCACAATATGCTAATCATAATTTACAGAGAAAGAATAAAAAGCTATATTTTGAAGACTTTGGTCATTTCAAGACAAAACTAAAGCCCTCTTCATCTTCCTGCCTTTTTCTTTTATGTGAATGTGTGAAGCATTTGTTTGGAACTAGCTGTAGAACACAACTGAAAACTCTTGTCTTTTTCACCAGAAATAACGTGCCAGTCCTTTTGTAGCAATGTTGTTTTCCTTGGAAGCAAAAATGCTTTGTACCAGAGCAATTCAGAGCTGCATTTAGAGTTCTGTAACCATTCATGTCCCCCATTTTTATATAATTTATAAAGACAGAATAAAGCCATGTTGAATATTTTAAACCCACTGTAGTTAACTAACCCATCCTTTTGTCTATCTTGCCTGGGAGGAGTTACAGTAGAGCAGTGTAATTAGATTTTCCTTGGTTTTCCAGTTATGCCATCTGTTCTGTTAAAATAAAAACCACGCTCCCTTTTTGCTGTTGAGGGATATAAATTATTCTCAGGAAGAATATAATGAACTGTACAGTTACTTTGACCTATTAAAAAGGTGTTACCAGTGACATTCTGGCTGTGATATTTTGTGTGTGTGTCCACGACAGACGAAACTACTGTTTTTCCCTGTTTGTTATTTTTCCCCTACCCTAATCCCCAAGCTTTTGAAGAATTCATTCATGCAGGACTTAAGGAGCAACAGTAAGCTTCCAAGGAAGAAATCCAAGATTTAAGTAGTTTTCTAAAGAGCAGTTTTTCCTCTAAGTATGGAGCACAGGAACAAGTCAGTGTTACCTGTTTGTAATTAGTGTTACTCACCTTCCCCTAGAAAAACTGATTTTAAAAGTCTAAAAAAAGGGGTGGTGGAGTGCAGGATATCTAGGTGGTTTGCAGGAACTATTTTGGAAGCTCAGGTAGAGTTCACAACAGCAGCAAGGGGCTGCATGGACTAGATTTTTCCATGGATGCCTACATCTTTCAAAAAAACAAATGAACTCCAGTGTTGTGGGAAGGTGGGACAATGCAGAGTGCTTCCATTTTGGTCTACACGTGAAACAACTCTCCTACACAACTTTGGAGTCCTTACACACTTAAAATTATACACTAGCAAAATGTTGAAGATTTTAGTATCTATATTAAAAAGACAGCCCTGACCATGTGCGGTTGCTCTGGAAAGTCCTGTTCGTTCAAAAGTTATTTTAGAAATACATAAAGTTACTTCTTTCATATGTAAAGTTACATGATCTTCCACAGCCACCCTTTAATGCATTTTTTGGAGATGTTCCTTAACATTTTTCTAGAATGGCAAAAAATTACAATCCTTGTACAACCTAGGCTCGGTACGTTGCACTGCAAGACTCATCTTCTTTTAAGTCACACCAACTCATGAATAAATGGTACCAAGCTTTAGCCCTTGACAAGGGCCTTCACCTAACAGTTGGGAATATTTTCCCCAGTCTTCAGCTCAACAACTGCCCTCCCCTGTAAAATGCACACAATCCCTGTGGTACCGCAGCCTTTAGCTGCCCCTGAACAGGTTAATTACCTGCTACTAGAAACTGCCCAAGATGGAAGCTGCACTGGTGCTAAAGCATTAACTGAATATGTTGCAGCTTCACCAAGAGGCTGCGGCACCAACTAAGTCATAGCACTTCTGCTGAGTGTGACCACATCCCGTACCTGCCAAGCTGTTACCTTGTCAACAGGCATCTCTTGCTCGCCGGGATTACATTTCCACCTTTGTCCATACCCTGCAAATTCAGTTGGGGGCTGTAACTGTCACTGTGCTATGCCTCTGTTTAAGTATGTAGAATGAACGAGGGAAGTTATAAAGCCTTAGATTAACATGTGACAACAGCAGTTTCAGTACCTGCAAGTAACCTGGCCATCCTTCAGCCACTGTCCTTCACATGCATCCATACTGCAGACGAATACATGTAAATGTTCTTTATTACAGATGGGTACAAAACTAATTAGTCAAAAAGACCAAAGCCCATGTCATCATCAGATTCCTCTGATTCTTCTTTCTTTTCCTCTTCTTTCTTCTCCTCAGCTAGAAAAGAAGAAAGGAATCAGGATTTTTCCATTTTACCAGCTCACACAAGTCACATGCCACAAAAGACACACAACGACTAACACCAAGAACCAAGGCCTGAGCAATACTAACCAGCTGAGCTAACAACCCAAGACTGAGGTTTCCACTACTAAGAAAGTGGTTTTGTGCTTTCAAAATTAAATCCTACCAAATCTAAAAAACTTTACAAAGAAAGTACTCAGGATGAGATCCTGATGGTAAACAGGAAGATCAGCCTTAATTCTGAGGTAATGCTGATCCCGTACATGGACTCAAGGTGCAATTCTAGCCTTTAGAGAAGGTCTGTTTTGCTCCAGAACACCCACATCATACTACAAAGCATAAACCATATTAAAATTACAAGAGGTAGAGCCAAGCCACTTACCAGGGGCAGCACCACCCGCAGGTGCAGCACCACCAGCAGGAGCAGCTGCAGCCGGAGCACCACCTCCACCAGCTCCTACATTACAGATCAGGCTTCCGATGTCGATGTTAGCTAGAGCCTAGGGAGAACAAGCAGCAGCAAAGGCTCGTTAACACGGGGCACGCAGGGCAGCTTTGCTTCAGCCCTGTGTGCCTGCTAAATCATGCCATGAGTGATGAAACCACAGCGTGACAAACCAGCCCCTGCTTCACTCGGCAGCAGAGTCACCATAATTCACTGCTTTTTGCCTTCGTTAAAGGTTTTGAAACTACACGTGTAGGGGGGTCTACTGCCCAAGTCATCACTAGCAGGGAGCTGTTGTTTGGTCGTGATCTACCCCCGGCAGCCCCCACCCC